AAAAAGGAGAGACACAAAAGGATGTAAAAGGTTACATAAGGATATACATGTAAGGCAGGTAACATTAAAGAGTAATCACTACTTTGAACTAAGGTAACACAAAGCACATTGTAGATCCAGTACTGCTGAATGTATTTGATGCATTTTGAAAAGTCTTATATCAACACTGCATCACATCACATACAAAAGGCTCCACCAGGTCAGCTAAAGAACATGATGAAACCACTGACCCAAGAGTGAGACTGCGAGGCACTGAGCTCCACCTCAGCGTTGTGTATTTAAGACAAGTTCACAGTGACTGAAAAGGCTTAATTCAGTTCAGTTCAATTTTATTTATATAGCGCAACATCAGTCGCTTCAAGACTCTTTATATTGTTAGCTAAAAATCGTTGGCAAAGCACTTGGTGAAAGTGGGAAGGAAAAACTCCCTTTCAACAGGAAGATTAGCTTTCAGTTCATTATTATCTCTCTGCCTTTAAGTCTGTACTTTACTTTATTTATTCTCATTAGATTCCTCCTGGGCTAAAAGAGAAAGGGAGAAGTATGTGGAAACAAGTTATTACTTGTAACCAAGCATACTCTCTAGTAGTAACTGCAACACTTGATACATTTTTGCACTCGTTCTTAAAGATGACTAAATGCTGCTTTCCTACAGCACCGAAAAGGAGATGAATCAGTCGCTCTGCCTTATCTTTGTACATTTTCCTTGCAGGAACGTAGCTTGTATTTCACTGGAACAAGCAGAAGAGAAGCTCATTAGTGTAGGCCCGTTACAGGGAAAGTATTGTTTGTGGCTGCCGCCAGAGGAAGGTGGCTCAGACACTATCAATGAACTTTCTGCCTTCATGTCCGGCTGGCTGCTCTCCTTTTCCTGTCCATTTAGTTAAACTCAATGAGAAATGAGCTATTAGTAGAGTTTACTGTTTGCTGGCTCCCTTACCAGTCCAAAAATAGATTTCTCGGACTGAATAACCAACCTTTTTCTCGACCCTGGGGCTAAATATGGAGACAATTACCTCTGTTTAGTCAGGTCCTGGTAAGAAAAGACAGGCAAGGCTGGAAGTGCAGACGGCGTGTTTTTTCTACGACACAGGCTGAAGCTAAATGATTTCTCCATCGAGAAAAGTGAACGAAGTGCATAAAGACATGCATATGGGACTTTTGGTCCCAAGGAACAATTGCTGTTATTTTATATAACTGTGAGGAGAAATCTTTTGCTTTTTTCTTTTTTGTATTTTTAGTACTGAAACCATTTACACGTTTTTTATTATACGCTTTAGTTTATTTTTCCTGTTTTATAATTGATTCTTTATCTATTTTTCCATTAATAATCAAAAGCCTAACCCTCACCCGGCAGACACTATAGGTACTTGTCTTGGTCTTCTTTTACTTGCCTCCAATTATTGGGGTCAATGTGGCATGGTTGTTTATGCTAAATGGGCTGTTCTTGAGTATCTCAGAAACTGTTGATCTCCTGTGATGTTTACACAAAACCGTCTCTAGTTTATCTTAACAAATCTGCAGTAACAGCAGCCAGTTGTACCTAATAAACTGGTTCACAAGACGCAGTAATAAAAGCTAAAAATTAGTAGTCATGAAAAAGAATTAAAAAATTTAAATTATTAGATTATAAATAAACATGCCTGTTTTTTCACTGATAATAAGCCGATATATTGTTTTGTACCTTACTCAAGTAACGGACACGAATTCAGTCCAGATGTTGGAAAGCACCAAAGGGCAGCCTTTTACGTATGGAGGGCCTGTTGACCCAAAAATCAACACTGTCAAAATGTTCTCACTTTAGGGGATCTTCTGTCCTTGTGAGAATGTCTGGTTCTCCTTTACAACCATTGAAATGCATTAACACACTGCCCTTCACCCCACGCAGACGCATTCTCACACCCTGGATGACCACGGAGTGTTGGGCAGTAATTCAGTCACAAACGTTGCTCATTTCTGAGGAAGTAAAGCCAGGAGGAAAAATCTGAGTGGAGGAGTCTCCTCATCTACCCACATCTCATTTCATTGGCTAAGAGGCATGATGTCACAGAGTGGAAAAACCTATAAGAAGTCACACTCCCACACAGACAGCAGACAAGCTGAGAGCTCATTCACTTAGAACAAGGAAGACGGCTCTGTGAACCACATACGACTCATCATGTGCAGAGGACGCGACTCGCTGCCTATCACCTGCCTCGAAAGGTGAGATATGTGAGGATGTTATATCAGATTTTTCTTTTTTAAACAAGAGATTATGATGTTGTCACCTGTAGAAAATACAGAATGGATTAATCTAACTGTAACTCTTCCTCCTTTTTTAACAGGGCAAAAGAGCTGAAAGCTCTGTTTGGGAGTTTGCTACAGAAGTCAGACAGCATCACTGGGCACTCAAAGAAAAGCGACAAACTGAGGTAAGACATTCATTCAGCATCTCTTTTTCAGCACTTCAGTTGAGTTCATGTGAATCCTGGATACTGTGGGAACATTTCCTAACTACTTTGTCTCTGCTTCTGCAGGTTTAATGTTGAGGAGCCTCTTAAATGGAAGGAATCATTTGATAATCTGTTGACCAGCCCAAGTAAGTCCACCAGATCACTCACACAAGTAAATGTAAATAAGTTTTGAGCTTTCTATGAGATGTTAACTCTTTCTCTTCTCTTTCTCCTTCCTCCAGATGGACTGTGTCTTTTCAGAGCATTCCTGGTGACAGAGTTCAGTGAGGAAAACGTTGCCTTTTACTTGGCATGTGAAGACTACAAAGCAACTAAGCCTTCAAAACTAGCTAGCAAGGCAAAGAAAATCTATGATGAGTTCATCGGCTCCGACGCACCCCGTGAGGTAATTATCTGATAAGCAGAACTAGACACACTCTATCAAACTACTGGTTTCTCTTATCGTGTTGTTAACTATTGATAATCAACTGACTGTTTTGCCTTGTCCCGTCTACAGGTAAATCTCGACCATGAAACCAAAGCGATCACCAAAGAGAACATGGAGCAGCCCAACCAGTCCTGTTTCAATGTGGCCCAATCCAAAATCTACACCCTGATGGAGAAAGATTGCTACCCTCGCTTCCTCAAATCCTCAACATACCTGGAGCTCACCAGGAAAACCAAGACGGGCTAAAAGACTGGAAGATAAAAAAATGATAAAACACTGCCCTACAATGCGATGACTCCTCAAAAGGACATAAGCTGACTGACGCGCAGTGGAAACTGTCAAGTTTTGGACGGAATAAATACCTCAGTCCGAGGAGTTTTCGTGCCCAGTTGTGGAATAACTTTAGAGACCGGAGATGTCCAGAGATTCCACATCGGAGTGAGAGGCGGAAGTTGCGAGGCTGTGAGGATGAACTGACCTGCAGGCAATGTCTGCCTCTTAAGGGCAAACATGTACTGTGCATAAAAGACTGGATGAAAGACAACATGAAGGCGATACTAAAAAAAATTCTGATATGAGTTGCACAACAAAAGTACCACTAGGAGAGATACTGCTGTGTAGCATTAATGCTTATTTATTCGTTATTTATTGAAAATAAATGTTTACGAAGCTAAAGTTTGCTGATTATTGAAAACTGTATGTTTTGTATTTATTTGCCTATTTTATTTTTTACATTGTATTTTTTTTGAAGTATCTGGAGTACTGTATGGAAAAGTAAATGCATTGAATAAAAAAATCATGAGAGAAAGGAACTTGTTCCAGAGGAAATTCATTTGTAGAGATGGTGGAGTTTGTTAGTCACAGTAGGAAAAAGAGAGTAGAAGGCTGGTTCGTGTTTACTGTGAATCTTAATGACTTACAGTGGCCTTGTTCCACTTCACAGATAGGTGTCAAGATGACCCCTCATTTTCTCTGAGGTAACAGTTAATAGATGATATGTAAAAAACGTATGTTTGTGTAAAACCAGACTAAAGGTGGATAGATGCATAAATACATTCATTAATCACCAGAGGAAATGTCAGATACAGTCACAAACACAAGAGTCAGATTAAAGGTCCAAGTGACACATAAAAGGCAGACAGTATTCGCAGTATGCACAGACGTGTAAATGGGAATATTTTTGTCCTAAATCCACTGACGTCCACAGTATGATTCAAATCCATTACATTTTTTTTCCATACAAAGTTCGAGGCTACATCCAGGTTTTTCAAAAGAGGTTTTCATTTTATATTTAAAAAAAACACACACAATCAAAGTTTCCTATGACCACTTTTTCAAAATTAGCCTGAACTTGAAATAGACTCAAGAACCTGGAAATTAAAAATAAGAAGAATGGCAGCTTAACAGCTGTTTTTAATGTATTTTTATGAGGTTTATTCACACCAGTTAACCTCTGTTTCATTTGCTGTTGCCACGGTCACGTACACAGGAGACTCTAAGAACTGAAAGCCTGTTCTGGGAAAACTGGGAAAACTCCAAAACCGTAAAGTAGCTGCAGGCAGCAGCCGGTTCGCTTTAGTTCTTCCCACCTTGCCAGGGAGAGAAATTGCCTCACACAAAATGTCACCTTGTGTTTTATTTTACATTTTGCTTCCTTTGTGAATTTTTAACAATTGATTAAATTACTTTAATGAACTTTGGAGGTTCTACAAGGTGGATTTTGCTGTTTAAACAGAGGCTAGCTATTTTTCCCATCCTATGCTAGGCTACCCACCTGTACGCTGCAGTTTATAGTTAGAATACCCATATGAAAAGTAGCATTAAACTTCTTGTCTATGTGAATCTAAAATATACACTCCTATTTTGAGATGTGACCATCATCCTATCTGATGGATATAGCTATATCCAGTGGCTAGTTAGCTTAGCATAAAGGCTAGAAAGACAAAAAACTGCAAGCCAGGCTGATTCAAAATATACTAAATGAACACGTACACATACAGTTACTGTTTAAAGATTAAACAATCATGTAGTGCTATGTTTGCCATTCAAGAGAGTGGCATCAACAGACATTACAGGAAATATCAGATTTCAGCACCTATTTTGGTAGCATCTCTGGAAGTCATGTCAAGCTAACCTATTTACATAAATGAGACAAAAACTTTGATTTAAATTTTAAAGATCAGGAAATTTATTGTATAAAGTCAACAATCCAATAAGCTTTAGTGTTATCCCAAAATGTTAGACTGTTGTTTAAAGATTAATAGATTTACAAGTGTGTCAACAGGCAGATTAGGCTTTCATAAAAGGTTTGAAGCTAAATGTTGTAAAATGCTAAGCCCATAACGGACGGCAAATGTGTTTGTGTCCAAAACATAAGTTCATTTTCCCGGGAAACATCTGAGTGTGAAGGATGGTCACCATGGATACAGCAGCTACCTACCATGCACCTCCACTGGCAGGTTTGTTTACTAGCCCTACCTCAGGGCCCTGTGAGTCACAAAAGCCTCCCCTCCCTTCGGTAAATCAGGCTCATCCTTTCATACTGCCGCCATCCATCAGCACCACCTCCTCGTTGCTCTCCCCTTCCTACACTGTCCTGCTGAAACAAATGACTCCTGTTCAAACACTTGGCAACTAAAACACAGAGGGTGAAGTCATTAGCACCACTCTGACACTGACGGAAAAAGACAGTGGCTATCTCTCCACTCCATCCCTCTTTTTCTGTGTCACTTCCACACAGAAGTGATGAGTAAAAAGGGCCTCTTCTGAGCCTCGACGTACAGTAATTGAGATTAAGTGGAGAAAAACTCATTTGTTTTTCGGTCACTGTAAACTCAAACACTGCCATCTTAATTTCAGGGAACAGATGGACATAATTTTTAACTGTTGCTCATGCTGTAACACATCATCTTACCCACATACAGTATTCAGCAGTATTGAATTTGAATTCAACCCTGTGGACAATATTTTGCTGGGTGGACATTCATGATTTATGTCTAATTTAGTCAAAAAAGTATATGGAGATCCAATAAAGTAGATACATATGGGCCAACAGGACTTCTGTGGAAAATGAAGTAAATGAGGTTTACTTTGTTTTTAACGTATTAAGATCAATATTTGGTGCACAAAATAAGAGATACAAAAAAACTAGAACTTTAAGTAACAAATTTCTGGCTATAACCAATGTGGTGTGGAATACGTGTGCATTGTGACCCCAACAATACATTTTTTGCCATGTGTTTGACTGCATGCAGATGGGTGGACAAAGAAAGTTAAGATGAATCATGATGTATTAAATGAAAGCCAGAAATACCTTCATGCCTCAAATTTTTTTTCTTTAGTGACGATAAATGAGTAATCGTCAGTGATACTGAAAGCTGTAGGGCCTGTTTCAGTAACTCTAGATTGTGCTGGGTAGCATTAATCTGATAGTAATCTTTTACGCAGAGTGCTATAGAGAGTGTGTGTGTGTGTGTGTGTGTGTGTGTGTGTGTGTGTGTGTGTGTGTGTGTGGTATTTCTTTGCCTGTTCCTGTGTTTGTTTCTTTCTGCGCGTCTGTGGTCAGATTTTGACAGATTACGATTGCGTCACAAGTTTGCAAGAAGCATTTAGGAAACTTTACAGCTGCGGTTGTCAAGATTTTAAAAAAATTAGAGCTGATGATGAAGATGGGTGTAGTCTCAGAAATCATTATGTGGTGTCATCTGTACTTAATTTCTAGTTTAGAAATCTGAAACGAACTAAAGCTGTTCAATAAACGTAAAATAAATCAGTAGATACTAGAAGTAGAAGAGCAAAGAAGCTTAAAATATTACTGATAGAGATCAAATCAAATCAAATATCAATAGTATTGACATTAATGCTGGTATTGATATCAGATTAGTGCGATAGGATTGATACTTTGTTTCTAGTTGCTACTTTCAGTGTGTTTAAAAAAAAGTTGAAAAAGAAAACAAAGATCCTCTTTATTATTTGATTAACAATTTGATAAAACAGTTTCTTTGCCTGGTTACAAAGACATCTACCATTCATCAAAGAAATGATATTAATTGTAAAAAGTCCATCCTCAGCTAAGCTAATACACTCAAAGATGCGCCACTCAGATTTAAGAGAAGCTCGGAAAATCATTTTCAGTGCAATAATGTAAAAAGCATGTCCAAATCTGATTTATCATTCTCCACAGCCCGTAATCGATCCATCCATCATTCATTTTATTCCGCTTCTCAATTTCAAGGTCGTAATGGGTGGGGCCGGGCGGAGGGGGCTCCAGCCTATCCCAGCTGTCATCGGGGAGAGGCAGGATACACCCCGGACAGGTCACCAATGTGGCGAGGGAAGCGACCTTGACCGAAAACATGGAGTGCAGGGCTAAATCTTTCTTTGATGACAGGGATCTTTCTGATTCCCACAAATGTGAAAGAAAACACTGCTGAAATTCATAGTGACGCATCTAGTTTTGAAATAAATCCCCCAACCAGTTTACAATAAAACACATCATCTAAATAACACAGAAGGTGTAAAGATGGTAAATGGTTCTTAAATAGTGCTTTATACAACATGCATCATTCATCCGTTCACACCAATTCACACAAGACAACATTCACACAGACTCATACTTTTTTTTTTGTGTCCCGTTTGGATCTTTAGCCATCAGAATTGTTGTCTTAAGGCCAAGAAAGATGCCAAGCGGATTTATTTTACCAAGTGGATCATCATGGC